TGCTACCCAAGGCTTGTTAGCGTAGTGGACTCGACGGTTCGGAATATTGGATATAGGAAATAAGAAAAGGGAGGTTTGGATAGGAGAGAACAAGAGAAAAAGCCGCCGCGAGTTGCTAGGGGGGACGATGGGACGTGGCATCTCGCGGCGCGTGGTTTCACCAAACGTGTGGATGACCCAGTGTTCAAACTTCAGAGTTGGGTGCGTGGGATTTTGAAGGGTCATGTGTGATGTGCCGGGAGTTCCCTACAGCTTCAGCTGCTAAGCAGTGCCGATCCGTGTGATGGGGAGCGCCAGCGGCGATAGTGAGCAGCTCTAGCGACACTGGGCGTGGGAATAACGATAGCTCGCACTGCAGCTTGACACTGGCGGTTTCCGGGACGTGGTTGAGATCCACCGTTCTGAACCGGCTTCTGAGGAGCTTCTGCCTCTCCTTCTGGATCGAGGACTAGACGCAGCAGGCTGCGCACTTGTTGGCTTTGCTAGAAAACTCCGCAGCCAGTCGATGGGCGCCGATCGCTTCTCCAGATTCCGCATTGTCGGCATCGACGAATGAGAGGTGCCGCGGGCTTTTGGGCTGTGAGGGAGTCCTTGCAGGCTTCCAGAAGGCAGCCCTTGATCCTCGCGTCCAGCTGCCCTCACTCAGCCCTGACTGCTGCCGTCATGTAGTAAGCCGGGAGTGACGATGAAAGTGCGGCAGTTTGGGGGCGTATGACCGCCGCCGTCAATTTGCAGCAAATGCCATAGTGGCCGCATCGACATGTTCCGCGCGATAGGAGAGGAGTATCGCCAGGGAATAGAGATGAAGCATTGGGAGCTAGGCCGGGATTACAATCCTACTCGAGTGGAGCGGTTGAGGAATGAGGAGTGCAGCGCCAACGGCAAGTGCCCAGTGGCTGCTAGCCAGAAGCATGGTAAACCTGGCCCCGGCGCCCTAGTCTCGCCTTAGTCTCACGCCCCCAAGCCGCGGAACGCCATGGGCAGCGCCTTATAGCATCCTTCGCCGCCGTCATTTGCGTCTCTAGCTCTCTGTCACGACGTTGATAACATACCTACCCCGGCCGTCCATTTCGTCCTCACATCAACATCACAATGGCCACCATGTTCCGCGACTTTTCCTTCGACCCGGCGCCGTCACCTGACTACTCCGCCTACGAAGCTGAGCGGGCAGCTATGAACGTCTCGCCCACGTCACAGGCGATGGACCCGCATTACGCGCCAAATCGCCCTCCCACTCCACCATGCACTATGGGCGACCTCGCCGTGCAACTCAACCAGCAAAGCCTCCGCATCGACACGAGCGTCCGCTACTATCCTGCTGGCCCTCTTACACCGGAAAGCGACGATGAGTGCGCGCCTTCCACCAATCAAGAACAGCAGGCGCGACCCACCTACTCGCGCATCGCAGCTTCCGTTCTCAGGATGCAACGCCAACAGAGCTCGCGCATGCAGTGCAGCTCATCGCATGCTCGCGATCTCTCCAAGCTGGTCAAGATGATCGAGGAGGAGAAGCAATGTACCGTCAGCGAGTCGTCGTCGCGCACATCCTCCACATCTTCGACTTCCACATGCGCATCTGGCAACTCTGGAGACGACGAGGGCGTCGACATGGACTACGATGTGCCTGTCTCGGGCATCGAGTCACTTGCCAGCATGCCAGTGTGGAAGGCCCACGAAAGGCGCGACAGCTGCGTCCGCGTCACCCGACCTGTGCGCATGCGCAAGCGGTCCAAGGGCAACGGTGTATCGAAGAGGCGGTCATCATAGTACTATCTGTCGAATTTGGTTACATGCATAGCGAACGGCGTTTGGGGTGTCACTACGGACGCATTATACCACTTGATCTTGCTGGAAACAAGGCAACATTGGACAGGGCCTGGAGATGTATTATTATATTATCATCGGGCGGAAGAGCTCCCTTAGGGTTGAGCCTGGCGTTTAGGGTGCGACAAGCTGAGCGCTGTCGTTACACCCACATACTACATAATCACAACCATCATCAACATGCAACCCGCTCCCACTATGCTCTCTTATCGTGACTTATCCGCCTGACCCAGCACAGTGTTCCTTTCCCGCGCTGCTGCATGTTCCGCGAACCTGAGCATTGGTAAATTGGTGACCCACATGGCTGTTGATCGTAAGTCTGTAAATTCGTGCCGCACCCACAGCCACAACCACAACCACAACACCCGCCATGTCCGCCCGCCGAGCGCTGGCACCGCGCTCCATCCACTTGCGCATCGTGCCACGTCCCGCCAATTTATCCGAGAGCCGCGAGATATTTCGCGTCCTCCAACGCTTCGGCGAAATCAGCACCTTCAAGTATCTTCGGGTACGTCTTCACCAATGCGTTTACTCATTCCACACGACCACTCACACTACGCACAGTACGAATACCAGAACCCCGCCGACAATGTTGCCCTCGCTATCTACCGCGACGAAGCCGCTGCCCAGAGCGCCCTAGACGCCTCACCCCTCCGCTTCGCCCTCGAGAAGCTCATAACCAGCGACACCGACGCCGACGCCGACGCCCAAATCCAGGCCGCCGAAGAAGACGAAGACGACACGCCCATCCAGCAAACCCCCCAGAAAGACGGCATCGACGAGATCCTCCGCCCCTCACAACTCCTAAACCGCACCTTACCCACCCCCACCGGCACCACCGGCACCTCCCCCGCCCCAACACCGCCATCCAAACCCCTCCCCTTCGACCCCCCACCGCACGCCTCCTCGCAGAAGAAATCCACAAAATGGTTCCAAGTAACCGTCGACCGCTCCCGCGCCGTACACCCCGATTTCATCGAACGCCAGCCCTACTGGAAGCAATTCCACCCGATGAAGAGCATGGCGCAGGTGGATTTGGAAAAGAGCGTGCCGCATGTGGGGCTGAGCGATGTGAGCAAGAGGCCGCCGAATGCGTATCGTACGCCAGCAAGAGTGCTCAGGGTGATGAATGAGTACGTGGAGAAGAGGATGCCGAGTCTTAGGGGGATTGTGGAGGGGGGCGAGAATGAGAGGGGGTTTGAGGAGAGGAGGGGGAGGGGTTGAGGATGGATGAAGAAAGAGTAGACTGTACGACGGACTGGAATGGTCGCGCTCAGGGCGGCACACACACGCATACATGGTCCCAGCCGACAGCTTCGAAAAGATTGTCTACGCACAATCCCGTGAGACGGCTCGCGGCGACTTCGGTGGTGAGATCGACTGAAAGCACGCTTCACGGCAGTGATAAAGCGTAGGAGACCCATAATCGGTTTGACGACGCAACACATACCCACGCCTCACTCCTCGAGGAAAGCACATCGCGCTAGATCGTACATTCTCTCAACCTCCAGCACATTCCCCCATCGAAACGAAAGCGAACGACCCAAAGCTACGGCAAACTCTCATGCCAGCCGCCGTTATGAGGACGCATCGCTTTGACTCACACGCTCGAGCTCTCGACCAGACTCCTGATTTAGATGTGATGGTTCCGGCCTTAAGTCGATCCTCGGTTGTTATACTATCTAGGTAGCACGACCGGGGATCGATTCAAGGCTGGAACAATCTACAACGATAGGGATCTGTGTTCTCGAAGGGTGCGCGCACTAGGCGTGTGGTCGTCATGTCTGGTGCTCTTCAGAAGGCGCTATAACGTTCCTATATGGACGGGCGTACCGAGCAGTCGCGAAGCATTCTCTTTGATTGCCTCGGCTACCATTTGCAAAAATCCTCCATGCGAATGGCCGTTGAAGCCTCATCACCATTCCGACGGATAAACTCCATCATGCATGCGTGTAGCATGAGTCCCAGTAGAGTACCCAACCGCTCCGCAGCCAGATTACAACTCAGCGACTCCGACGCCCATGTCTATCATAACGGAGGCACGCACATACGCCGTATCCATTTCATCCAGCACTCCGACGAGGTACTTCCGATAAGCGTCCAACGCCTTGAGAACGCCCTCTTAAGCCTCGCCCTTCTGCTTCTTTGACATATCCTTCACGAGCCGTTCGAAGGATACCACGAAGGCGTCGGATATGGTATACCCAGAGTGTACAAAGCAATGTGGCTGGTCGGCCGTTCTTTCGAAACTGGTAGCCCGGTTGAGCATTGTGAGACGAATACACACGGAACAAACGTGACCCATCACGATCCCACCCTACACAAACTGCTCTACAACTGATCCCCATCACGCCCTAGTCACATGATCCACTTCTTCCACATCGTGCACGTGTGCGAAGTGGAACAAGTGGATCATGTGATTGGGACATGGTGTTTATCAGTCGTGGGGTTAGTTTGAATGGCGGTTTGATCATTCTGGCTGTGTGTCAAAAGCGTCTACACTGTCTTCTGGGGCATGAACAGGTACGGCACCAGCCCATGGGATCAGCGAGGTTTGGATTTTGAAACTTGCATTCCTTAGGAGCCTTATAGAGACTTCGGAGGAGTGCAAGTTCCAAACTTCACACAGCGCTGACCCCATACGCTGGTGTATGCGAGGAGATGGGGTGGTATGGAGCGATGAGCTTTCGGAATAGTTCTTTGGTGGTTGTGAGGATGTTTAGCTGATGGCGGCTTTCTTGTACGCTCGCACCAAGCTATAGAATCGAATTCAGTGCCTGAAGTACAGGTTATACCTATGTATTTCATGCGACATGTGAAATGTTAGACAGCGCATATATCAAACGCGAAGTAGACACAAACGCGATATTTCAAGCACTCAGAGATTAGGACAAAGCTGGTTGTTAACATTACCACGTATTATTAAATCTACACTTTTGTAGCCATACATCAACTACAAGAAATCCCCCACCTAACCGCACCTCAGACATTAGATAATCAGGCGCCTTATACATACATGACGAACCAAAAGAAAAAATCAGGGGTATAACCTCCACAAACTCCATTACCATGCCACGCTTGAAACGCCCACTTTTGTTCATGATCAAATACGTACATGCGTGTTAAACAGAAAAGTAACACTCGCCACCAGAACAGACCCATAGAACAAATCTTCGTCAGTCACTAAGATCGATAATCTCAACCTCAGCCGGAACCGACCGACGCGCAGCAACAGGTTCAGGCGTGGCACTCGAAACGCCCTCTCTGACTTCAGCTTTAGGTATCCACTTCCCATCCTGGCGAACCAGGATATGGCGCGTATTTGCTCGTCCATGGGCCTCGAGCTGCTTCTTGACTTCCTCCATGAAGCCATCAACAAAAAGCATCTGTGGCCTCGCGTCAGATTTGCAAATGGGGCATTTCCACTGATCGGCTACGGATGCGTCGCCCTTGCGTGGCCGGGATTGGAGGAACGTTTCTAGGTCGAAGCAATCGTTGTGCGGACAGGCTTTGCTGCGGACGGGGATGTCGCACATTTTGGCTTGGCTGAAGGGGTCAAAGAGGCCGATGGTGAGAGTGCTTTCGACGACGCTGATCTCGTCGTCGTCGACGGCGGAGAGTTTGTTTTTGATGCCTTGGAGGACCTTGTCTGCGGGGACGCGACTCTGGTTTAGACAGTGTTTTACGATGGACGCGTGGGATGAGACGACCATGGCCTCGATGGCGAGCATGTAATTGAGATGAGATTTCTCGCCAGACCGAGCCATTACTGCAATCTCCAAAACGTTCTCGCCTTCTTTCAGCAGGCCCGTGAGGTCGATGGGCATGTCTTTTCCATAGTGGATCTTCTTCCGCGGTTCGAGAGGAGTGTCGTTGAGCGTGTAATACGAGTGAGGTATCCAAGACGTATCGGCGACAGCCCAGCGTTCCTCTGTCCACTCTGGCTCCGGCCATTTGACACAACGTAAACGAGCAAATTTCGTGGTCTCGTTGATGTTCACAGTACCAGGTCCACCCGTTTGATCTGGAATAGTCTTTCCAATCCTCTGCATATCATACGGTGTCAAGGTGATTGTCCATTTCTCAATGGCACGGCCTGGCGAGGACAACCGCGTTGGGGGTTTGAGGAAGTTTTGACAAAATGTGTACAGCGGCGAGGATTGGGATTGCGCACGAAGAACTGGACTTCTGAGATGAGCTTGGTGTAGTCCAAAGCGTGCTGGATTGGGTACACGCTGTTGTGGTTGTTGCCAGCCAGCAGCAGGAAGCAAGGGCCCCCCACGTGGAGGCGGCGCCACCCCTGTAGATTGGGCAGGGCGTGTGGGAGGACGACCAGGCCCACGCGACTGCTGTATAGCAGCTTGTGCCGAACCCTGGTCAACCGATCTGGTCGTGCGCGGTGGCATTTGTTGGGGATGGTTGAAAGGCGGAACAGCGGGCGAGCTGGTTTGTACTCGTTGTGGTTGGGGCTGGGCTTGTACTTGCTGCGGTTGCGATGGAGGGGCCTGGTGGGTCTGTACCTGTTGCTGAGGTTGGGGAGCGCCGTACGTATGATCAGCCAATGAAGCGCCGTTCTTGCGAAGGTTAGCCTCGAATGCCTCGACTAGCGCTCTCAGGTTAGAGCCCCAAATTCGTTCCTCGTCGTGTTTTAATTGTTGGCTCTGCTCAGGCGTCTCCGTAGCTGAGGAAGCATGTCGTGAGTAGTGGTAGTTTTGATTCTGTTCGAAGACACCAAGTATGTCGTTCTCGAACTTTGCAAGCAAGGGTTTGACATTAGGATTCGAGACCACCGCGCGGCAAATACACCGCAGAAAAGCGGTGAAGAGCAGACGCTGGAAAGTGAGAGAATGAACGCGGAGTTCGACAACAAGTTCTCGGACGAGGGGCGGGAATCGACGGTGCTCGCATATCGCCTTCAGTTGGTTGTAGTTGGGCGATTGGTCAACAAACTGTCTGAAAAGCTGTGCTTGGTACTCCCATGTGGCCGGCCACATGGCTGCAATTTGCTGCATCGGGTATGGGAAATGGGAGAAGAAGTGAAGATAACTAGGCGACAGTATATGGTTCGCATCAAGAACATCGTGCAATATCCTCTGCGCTTGTTGTAAACCTGGCAACGACTTCAACCCCGCCGGTAGCATGTGAGGGGCGTGGGTCATCAGACAGTAACATTGATGCATAGTAAGATAGGGCCAGTCTGACAGCTCAACAGCGTTCTGCAGCACAAGAAAGCGTTTCCTGTCCTGAGAGGCAGGCGATATTGGGGGTGCTGATGCCTGAAATTGCCCTAAGATCTGCAGACAGTCTTTCTTTGTATACCAGCCCTGGCTCATGAAATCAGGGGCCAAGGGGGTTGTAAGCGTGTTATCAGGCTGTACGGAGCGAGATACAGGCCGGGATACTGGGTCTTGCGAGACTGCTTGTGGCAGCCCATAGGGCGAGTATGGCTGAGGAGGTGTTCTACTGAGGCGCGGATCTTGGAATTGCATGCCCTGGGGCAGTTGTGGCGATGCCATCATGCCGAGCGACGGGCTGCGATTAACGGTCTGACCCATCTGACCCAGCATAGGACTGCCGATCTGTGAGTAGTGGCCGGACGGTCGACGCGGAAGGTCCGGCGGAGGATTCGTCGGGTTTGCTACCGGCCCTGCATAAGCCTCACTGCGCCTCCGCTTGTCCATTTGTTGCGCATATCCTTCGTTGACTCTTTTTGCAGGAGCAGTCTCGTGCGGTGCTGGGGGCGGACAGCGCGATGTCTCCTCGCTTGGCGTGGGCGACGGAAGCACGCGGGCTGCTGAATGCCCGTGGTTGGCGCTGTTCTGGTGGGCGACGACATTTGGGAGCTGGGGAGAGGTCGAGTTCGATAGTGGCTGCGGCTCGGTCTCGACGGTTGGGCGCGTGATCAGGTTCTCTGCGGGTGCGTGTGTGGAGGAGGGAACAGTAAACCTGGGCTGCTTGCGAGGCCTTCCGCGACCGCGCACGGTGAAGGGTAGTGGGTTTTGTGTGAGTTCGGCAGGAACGATGGGCGGCTGGGCAGGCGCGCTGGAGGGCAGCGGCGTCATCCAGCTCTTCTGTCGGCCCCCAAGGTTGCCCAGCGCATAGTTGAGCGTCTGGGCCGTCGCATCGTCTGGCACTCCTGGGGTCATGGCGTGACTCCCGGCGTGGTACATGCCGCTTTGTTATGTTGTGTATATTCGCTTGAGGGTACGCGCTGGTCGCCTTCGAGTGCTGGACATGGGCGAGTTGGAATGTGGGGAGTTCATGTCGCGCAGGGAGATTGTGAGCGACTCAGTGCATGGTAGGCGCGGCGGGTCGCGGGTGCCGAATGTGGATGTGGAGGGAGAAGGAGTTTTCGCTGTCCAGGCTGCCGCGAGACACGTGAGAGAAGGCGCGACGGGGTGAGGTGAACATCGACGTCGCGATGGCAGTGAGCCCTCACGACACCCGATGGCATGGCGCACGGACAGCGATGTTTCGCGAACATGCCAGGTCGCTTTGGGCCAAGGCCATGGGCGCCGCCGGGGCTCTGGACGCCAGGCTGGACGGCAAATCGTCAGCGGCCAAGTCAGAACCGCTCCAGGGCTGCCCGCTGCCGTACAAACCCACTCTGCCAATAGGCGCAGCGCCTAGTCGAGATTTGCTTTGGAGCGCCCGGTGCGTCCGTGGTTTTGCCAACCGACGTAATTCATATCGCATGCAGGCTAGGTCGCCTACTGCTTCCAAGGATGCACATGGCTAGCTTCATGCCTCTCTGTCCCACCACCCAAGTATAGACACGACACCCCCGGCAGCCGCACGACGACGGGATCAAGCAATATACCTCCCCCCTCGCTCCAAACAACATCGCCACTTTGTTTCATTGCGCACCTGTCAGGCTGTTTCAGGTAGCGGTGGCTCGGTAGCCAGCATTTATAGTCTGCCAAACGTCCGACTGTTGCGCCCGCCTCGCCCGCCGATAGCGCGAACTCCCACGAGGATGAACCACCTGTACTGATCTGGAGACTGCCCGCATACACGCCCCCCGACCCGACCCAGTCTTGGAGAGCAGCTGTAAGCATGGCGCAACGAACCCACACCGAGGGCTGCCGGCCTGGCGATACCCTCGTCGTAGTGCGTATGTTTCCCCTCACCCGTGCTGCCACTGCGTCGCACATGCCAGCGACAGCTGCTGACAGCACTTGCAGACGAGTTCCTCGCCCGCAGTCCCGACGAGCTGAGCCTGAGGCGCGGAGACCGCATCGAGCTGATTGAGCGCGACGACGACTTTGGCGATGGCTGGTTTCTAGGCAAGAACACCGAGACGGGAGAGAACGGCCTGTTTCCTGAAGGTATGTTGCGCTATCGACGGCAGCACAGTAGTGCACATCCCCTATCTGATCGCCATGCTTCTTTTTGCGAGCAACACAGCTGATGTATATCAGTATACACACGGCCAGCACCCAAACCGACGCCCATCCCGACCATGCTCTCGCGCAATCCCTCGCAAATGTCCGTGCAATCAGAAAAACCATCGCCTCAGCCCGGCATGGCCATTTCTGAGCCGCCGACCACCGCCGCACAGCCACCAGCTTCCACGAGCGCCCCTCCACCTTTAAAGTCGGCACCCACAGAGCCCCTGAACATCGCGTCGGGACCAGAAGTTGCTCGCCGAACATCTATACAAAATGGCCCGCGGAGCATCAGCATGACGTTGAGCGGGGAGGCGCCACCAGAAGACGAGACGATAGGAAGCCCCGTCATGCACGAAACGCTGAGCGTCATCGACGAGCACATCACGGGCATGAGCACGCCGCGCCACAGCGCTGTGGGCAAGGAGATACGGTCCAATGACTCGGGAAGCGAATACAGCAGCCACCACCGGCTGTCATACATCAACGGGCAGGAGACCGATGAGGAGGAGCAGAGCTGGCACACCGAGGAGGAGGTCAAGACATGGTCGCCTGCGCGCGTCGCCGAATACCTCGAGGACGCGGGTGTGGAGAAGAAGCACTGCGATGTGTTCCGCGACCAAGAAATCGATGGCGAGGCGCTGCTGGGCGTGGACCGCAACTTCATCTTCATGCAGGAATTCAATCTGGGCCCCATGGGACCGCGACTGCGCACGTGGATGAAGATTAACGCCTTGCAGTCCGAGGTCAAGAACGCGAAGGAAGCCGAAGCTGCAAGGACGACCCTTCTCCTGCCGCCTTCAGAGAGCCCCGACGAGTTTCCAGCCGATATGGGAAGGAGCAGGGCTGCATCAACTGGGGCGGTCCTTCCTCGCATACCGACGCTCAGGGAAAGCATCGGATCCCGAGGCAACACCAGCCGTCAGCACATCCCACGTGCAGCCTCATCCGCCGGCCGATCGTCTACCATCGACGCGACCTCTCCACTGATCCAGCACACGCCCGCCTCACCTACGCCCGGTTCGCCTAGACGACCCTCCGCTGCTTCCGTCCGAAGTATGAACCACAGCAGACGCCACTCTTCTATCGAATACGGGCAGGGACCACCCACGCCTAGTACGCCCAGTTTAATGAAGCCGCCTACATCTGCACCCATGGCCGCCCACGCACACAGGAAGACGCCATCATTCGACCGCAACTGGACCATGGGTTCGACATCGCTGTCCAAGTCCGTACAAGATATCGGCAGACCGGTCTCATCACATCACCATCATGCTTCAAGCACCAACGGAACTACGTTCGACTTCCGCGAGGCCGGCTTAGGCTCCGGGGATCTCGACCGCGGCTACTTTTCCGGAGGCGAGGTCGACAACCGCAAGAGTAGCAGGAACGTTCTGCGCAAGAGAGAAAGCGCCGCGAGCCATTCACGCAATGCTAGTTACACGACCGAAGGCGCACAGCGCGCGTCGTTCAGTCGCCGACACAGCCGAATCGGCAGCGCAGATTCGGCTCTCCGGCCAGCGAGTCCAATTTCCGCTGCCGCGAAACAGTACTACGGTACCAGCACCAAAAGCGAGCGCAGCTCTAGTGCATTCGACTTTGTGCGCCCTCTCAAGCCAGCAAGCGAAACCCATCCAACCGTGACCAAGCTCTCATATGATGCGCACAGCATTGACGCCATTGCAAATTCGCCCCACGTCGCAGGTAGCGAAACCTCGAGCACAGGTCGTGCATCGCCTTCGCCAGCTGCTGTACCATCTCATACGCGCTCATTCTTCAGCAGTAAAAAGGGATCACAATCTAGGGGTCTTCGAGCGATATCAGACGCGATAACCGGCGGCGAGAAGGCGAATTTGAGCTCCGCGGATGTTTCCACCACACAACACAAGGACTCACCGATGCAGTCACCCTCGCGGACAGGATCTAGCACACCCTCTGGCACTTCACTATCGAAGAGTTTCGAGCTTGAAAAGGCCGATAATAACAGGCGGTTTACCGCTGGCTCGACCACGCCCAAGGACGCAAAGAAAAAGGCCAAGAAGCATGGCACTAGTGCATATCTCAAGGGCCGTCAGCAAATCACTCCCCAACAAGCCATGGAGAACTGCGACTATAGCGGCTGGATGAAGAAGAAGTCTTCGAGTCTTATGACGACATGGAAGACGCGCCTATTCGTGCTTCGTGGCCGCCGCCTTGCCTACTACTACACGGAGAATGATACCGAAGAGAAAGGTCTCATCGACATCTCATCGCATCGCGTGCTACCAGCGAACAACGAGAGGATGACAGGCCTCCATGCGTCTCTAACAGGTGCGGCCAACTCACCTACATCTCCGCACAATGCCACCATACAGACAACGGCATCTGCGGATAGCGCCAAAGGTATCCCAGGGCTGGAGGAGGATGTCTCAGGCATGTTCATCTTCAAGCTTGTACCACCCCGTGCAGGACTCCAAAAGGGTGTCCAATTCACCAAGCCCATCGTGCACTACTTCGCGGTCGATAGCCTTGCCGTGGGCCGACTCTGGATGGCCGCGCTCATGAAAGCCACAATCGACCGAGACGAAGCCCTTCCCTTTACGACCACGTACCAGCAAAAGACCATCTCACTGGAGAAGGCACGGGCGATGCGTCAACGGCCACCAAACCTCATGGACGAAGACGGAATCGAAGATGCCGAAAGGAAGAGCGAGATCTCGAAAGAGAGCATCCAAGAAAGCACCATTCACGAAGAAGACGAGAAGGGCCTCGCGATATCGGGACTCGATGACGCGAAGGCGCTGCTGGCGTACGCCGAGAGTCCCGAGGAACACAAACACGACAGCACCGCAACGGCAATTGCGATGTAGTCGACATAGTGTCGTGTCTCCTCTTCCCTCTCTTCTGATATCATCCCGTTCGATTTCTAGTTCAGTACATGCATTAATACTCGCCCGCTCCACGGATTGCTGTCATCGGAAACGATAGCAATTGCATCAGCGAGGCTTTGGGTCAGGCGTTCTTTCTAGCGATAGCGATAGCGAAACCCACAACCATTTTTCTTTTCTTTTTTCTCATCAATATACCGTCCTGAAGGCTGTCTAGGTAGTCATCCTTCATTACAACAACATACCCCTCTCTGTTCTGCTTTCATCGGTGGTTTTGCGATATAGCCTTGCGTGCGTCATATACTGCATCTTAGCATTATCGATGATGAGTATCTTTACATTCACCTGTCTTGCTCTGTGTGTTATTCATGATGGTAGGACGAAAGAGTATCTAGCGAAGAGCGAGGCTTTATAGCTTGTCTTTGTCGAGCGCGGATAGATGTAGTTAGTGCCTGTATGGAGGGATGAAATGTGTAATAGTACGATTGATAGACTGAGTCCTGGACTTTGAGTGACTGTGAGGTGTTTCAATGCGTGACATGAGATGCCCATCATAGCTTATGATCACAGAGGTTTGCTTCGACGTCGTCCAAGACGAATACGGCGGAACAGATACGCATTCACAGCGAACTGTCAACTTGTTGAAACTGTACATGTCAAGCTACCTTTACTATGGGAGAATACTTCGTTCCATCTGTGTTACGCATACCGAACAAGTAAAGAGGCAAGGCATTTTCATCATCGCCAACTCCTATCACGACCGGGAAGTAGACGCAGTGGGCTTACTGCTAGCAACGATTACAGGAGCTCGAAGTTTGAAGGACGGCACTTAGGCCAAGAGCGACGACAGTCACGTTCCCACGTCAAGTACAAGGCCGACGAAGGACGAGC